CTGTGCTCTGGTAATACAGGTGAAGGAGGAGGCAGAAAACTATCATCTCCCTAGAAAAAACTTGTGTAAGAAGTAATGGCAAAAGGCTTATTAAGATTCCTTTAATCTGGTGCTTTGAAGTAAATGTTAGACATTTACCCTTGATATATTCCTAAATTTCTAGCCCTTTTCTGTATTATTCCATTTTCTTCTCATATTAAATGAGACATTTTGATCCAAAATGTTTTGTAATATTATTGTATGTTATTAAAGAAGAGAGAAGGGATTTCACAAAAGCAGGGAAGTAATTCTTATGTATTACTTACCTTCATCATCAGAGGGTGACAAGGCTATACTAGTAAATTGTCTTATTATCCTGAATGAGAGATATTACAGGAAAACACAGAAGGGAATGTTTGTTCCCATGCCATGGTAAAAATCATTGATCCTAGAAGTTTATTTTAACCCTCTTGCTTAATTTAGGGTCATTATAGTCTCCTGTGCCTTGAGCTGCAATATTTAAAACCTCATTAAGCCTATGACCTTTCACCTAACATGTTAGCTCACTGTCTCCTTCTCTGTGGTAGGCCTGGAAGCACAGGATTTACACACTCGAGGTCACTGTATTATTATTGGAATATTCAGCCAGCAGCACACAACCCCACCATCCCTTGCATGAAGAAAAAATGCAGAGAGCCAAGATCAGGACAGAGACATTGACTGCATGTGAGCATGATGCTGTTGTAGGCAGTCCTACCAATGTCCTATTATTCATGACATTCAAGGAAAACAGCCTAGAATCTGACAAGGCAGTAGAACCACATACCTGGAAGAAGACTTGACTATAGGCAGAATATGCATTTTTAAGGCTTTTTGGAAACGTTGTGCAATGTTTGGTGGCAATGCATATACCATCTTTATTAAATATTGAGGCTTTCCGTTCTCCTCACGTTTCAAGTGATTACTCTCATTATGTTTTTATCTTGCTGACTATACAAAACAACAAATAAGCAGTGATTTAAGTGTTCTTGAAATTTATCCAAATACCATTTAAGAGCCGTGATTTCTTAAAAGGATTATATTACTTCCAAAATTAGAGACAATGAAACATAGCTCCGTCAGTCCATAAGCAATGCGTGTCTCAAGAATAGTGTGAATCCTGTGGCCAGGGCCTTTCACAAGCCTTAGCTCGACTCTGGCAGAGACAACAGCACACAGCAACAGGAATTGCTCTAGTGAGAATGAAAGCATCCTGCCCTACAGAGTGGCCCATATGCAAGTCCTGACCATGGTAATCAACTACCCTTCAAAAAAGTCTAAAATCTTGAGGTGTCTCTGTGCATTATGACAAAATCCATTGGCTGCTGCCATCCATTTGTGTTTGAGAGACAAGGCTGTATAATAATCATCTGAATGGGAGCAATGCCTTACCTGAGCCATTAAGTGCGGTAAAAAAGGTGTAAAGGAGCAGCCTATGAAGCTATGCTCGTACATTTCACTTATGGAGATCCCTCGTGGTTAATTGCTTAATGGCAAACCTCACTACTACAGGAAAGCTGACAGAATTCCTTTGTAATGATCTCCAGCAACTTATCTATGACTAAGCTATGACTGTGTACTGATCCCTCTGGAACCTCTCCCCAGTACATCAGGTATGCAGGGAGTAACTGCTGAGCCAGGCATGTTTGTGTTCCAGAAGTACCTTTGGTAGAACAGGTACCATAAGCCTAAAATTAGACAGTCTTTAATCTTAGATATGGCAGCGACAAACTTCGCAATAGGTCACAAGTCAACTACTTCTTCATGGTAAACTTCGCAATAGGTCACAAGTCAACTACTTCTTCACGGTTTTTCACCACGCCAGGTAACTTTTCTCCATTGTGCAAAAATGTTGGGTTTTAGCCTGTGAAATATTGCTCTCCTGTTTTGATCTTTTAAGCATATGTCTCTACAAAGTGTCACCATAATACACACAGGTGTGGAAAGCATCCGCACTCTGAGGCACCACACCTCACCCTCAAGCCCTGCCAGCAGTCCTGTCAAGGCCATCAGCACACAATCAACTTGTCATCAAGTCTGTCCCAACAATGTTGCTCTATATATACAACATGATTCACCCAATTATTCACACACAACTAATAAGAGAAAGCTTTCTTCGTTGTTTCTCATGATTATAAAGACTTGTCTTGAACATCTGCGTGGAATTATCCACTTTGCTAAATGCAAAACATTTAAAGTGAGATAGTGTTAATCTGGGAAACTCACACCTTCTCTGAGCCATGAGCTCTGTATGTTTTCCAGAAGAGCAAGAGGCTGAGGAGACAGAGCGTAAGATGACAAGCGAAGGATTAACCCAAGTTTAGCAGTGTCATTATGACCAGTCATGAGGGCTCAGGAGTTTCTGTTGCCAGAATGGTTTTTGGTGACTGTGAATTGTGCATATAGTCAGTATTGTTACCAGTTTTAAAAAATGGCAGAGCTAGCTTCTGCTGAGCAGGAGGTGGAAGTGATAGAACTGGGCTAGGAAATCAGTAGACATGGACACATGTGGTAATGCATTTTTGGCTATCCAGAGACACCAGTGCCATTTTGTCCCCTGACATATCCATCTCTAGACAGATTTGGGTTACTTTGCCACTCATACCTCAGCATGAAACTATCAGTGAGCCTCTGAGAAGGGTCACAAGCAGGAGAACAGGCTTCTGCAAAACAGTAGGGAGGAGGGAAATGAGAGTGCAGTGTCTGTGCAACCTGCAGCACACCATCACCATCGCTCATCTCTCAGTACCCGCAGTGCGCAGACAGGCCCTGCAGTTGGCTGTCCGTGGCAGTGTCCCTAGCTCTGTTATAAGGAATGTCATCAGTGGGACACCTGGCAGTGGCTGTGGGGTGAGTGTGGTCCCGTGGGGAATCGGCCTCACTGATGTTCTGCCTCTCAGAGCTCTCAGCACACAGGGCATTTACTGCAGCACTCTGGCACTTTGGAGAAACATGTAACTTGGATTCAAGCTTCGTGTATTGTGTGTTTATGAAGACTAACTGACTTTAAACTTATGCTCATGAGCCAAGTGCAGCATGCAGAAACACCGTCGTTTATGTTGTGTTTATTTATTCTGTTGTATTTACATCAACGGGATGTCACTGTTTTCTCTAGTCCAAGCGAACAACACAACACTTCACTCGTGCTGGCGTCTTTCATACTAAAAAGGATTTATCACTGTAATACCTAGATCTTGTAGAAGACAGCTTAAGGGCACGCCTCACATAAAGTCCTTGAGAATTCTGAAGCCAAGGCAGATTTTTTTAAAAACTCCACCGTTTATGACTGAAGAGGACGAAACCTCCGTGCCCCGGGGAACGCGTTCCCTCCGGGGCTGGCCTCAGGGCGCTGGGGGAGGCCGGGGCCAGCCACACTCCGCTGCCTCCTGAGAGCAGGAGGGGTGATCGCTGCGGCCTCTCCCGCCCCTCCGGCAGCCGGACCCCGCCGCGCCCAGCGGGCTGTCCTGTCCTGTCCTGTCCCGTCCTGTCCTGTCCTGTCCCGTCCCGTCCTGTCCCGTCCAGTCCCGCCCACGAGAGCGGCCTGCGCCCTCACTCAACATGGCGCCGCCAGCGTCTCCTGGGGTCTGACGTCAGAGCGCTGCTGGCCGAGACGACGGCCATTCCCCCGGGGGCTCCGCGGAGCTTGCCCTTGTCCAATATGGCCGCCACCGCCCTGCTGCTTCCGGCGGCAGCGGCGCTCCTAGGCCCTCAGTCAAGATGGCGGCAGGCGAGGAGCGGCGGGGCGGGATGTCCGGGCGGCCGCGGTGAGGGGCCGCGGTGAGGGGCCGCGGCGAGGGGCCGCGGTGAGGGGCCGCGGCGAGGGGCCGCGGTGAGGGGCCGCGGTGAGGGACACGCGGCCGACGGGGCCTGCGTGAGCGGCGCGGAGAGGCGAGGCGAAGGGAGGGCTGCATCTGCCGCCGGGTGGGGGAGAAGGAAGGCTCTCGCATCGCGGCCGCTTCTGGGGAGCTGGGCACCTGCTCGGCCGTGAAATGGCGGGTCGGGGCCTGGCCTGGGGCTGTGAGTCCTGCCGAGGTCCGGGCGGGGTGTGGGGACGGCGGGCTGCGCCTGCGGGACTCTAGCCCGTGGTGTCCCAGGGCCCTCGGTTTCCTTCTCTGAAAGGAGCAGTGTCTGTGGATTGTGAAAATTTCCAGCGACATAAATGAATTAGTTGTGAGAGGCTTCTCAAGGTTTTCTACGTTGGAAAAGGCGAAATAATCCGAAAGCTGCTTCTTTCTCCTGCAGTAGAACTTGCTAATTATTTAAAATATAAAGGACTTTTCAAGATTTACAAGATTGTTAAGTATTTGGCATAACCAGAAAACTGAAAATCAAAGGTGAGAGTCCTTTCCAGTTACTGAGTCTGTAGGTGATCACCTATGCATAGGTGGTAGTGTAGGTACACTGCACACAGAGAAATGTGTATATACATATAACCTGTGTGCATACCTGTGTGTGTAACTTAGGGCACCACAGGGAGGCTGAAGGGGCTGTTCATCAGCTGCTCTTGGCATCCAGCTGTCCGTGGGCCAGCAGCATTTAGGAATGTTAACTTGCCATATACGTGTGCCGTAAGTGCATACGTGTGTCACTTCCATAAGATGGGAAGAAACTCTCTTAAGTTGCTCTCATAAATCTCAGAAGTTGCTTCATGAGTGATGATGTGTCTTTTCTTCTTGACAGGTGCACCCCAGTGGCAAACAGCACCGAGTTTCCACGTGCAGGTTGAACAATCAGCTCCATACCTGGCTTCTCGTCAGAACTCACATTTTTTGCCTATACTTCTAATCTGACGCTTCATCAGAGGGACTTCTGGGAATTTTTCAGTGTTTTTTTAACCACATAAACAGAGGTCATAGGTCACTGCTGTCATGTCCTGGGTGCAAGCTGCAGTCAGCCGATCCAGTGAGGATATATTTGATGAAGATGCAGATGAGATGTATCTACTACAGAAGGAATGGAACAGCACCATGAAAAAAAGATTGAAGGTATTTCTATAAAAATGATTTCATGGTCTTTTAGCCATTTTAGATTTACTGGTACATACCTCAATATACATATGGATGACTTAAAGGGAAAAGTAAGAGTGGCTGCTTAAAAGTTATTGTGGCTTAGTTTCTTCTAAACATCAGGAAAATGTAGCAGGAATTTACAGAAACTCTTCTTAGAAGTCATCACAGCAAAGTACTGTTTTACCAAAAGATGCTGGATCCCTGTGCACAAGCATATGCATTTGTAAAAGGCAGTGCTGAATTGTGATGCAAGCTGTTTGCTTTGTATGTCTAGGTATACCCCTAGTAAATGTAGGGCCAACACAGCTGAACAGTGCTAATTTGGGGGTTTAACTAGAGATATTCATCAGTCAGATTGTAAGATGTGAGACTCCACGTGCAACCACAATTGGGCATTGTGGTCTGTGTAGTTCTTGGGTTGATTCATTCTTCTAATGAAAAATGTATTTTATGAAAGTTGCTTTCCCACAGCCCTTGGCTCCCTGGAGTTCTACAGGGAACAAAACAAGTACATAAACAGGTTAATTCAACAGATACATTGTGATTCAGAGTGGGGCCAGTAGGGCTCATCCACTCACTCACAGGTGAGCAGCATTTGGCTGAAAAACACGGAAAGAAGCTGTTGTGTAGGCTGTTCACGAGTAAGGGTATTACAACAGAGCTGGTGTATTACTGTCCAAGGAAGTTTCCTGCATATGAGTCCCTTGAAAAGACTGGCTTTCTTAAGGGGCTGTTTAGTATTCTTACACAAATCCCTCTGTTGTTTGTGAGTTGCGAGAAACTGCAAAATCATGAAGTATTGTGGAAGTTAGGGCTGTATGTTGGGCAAAACAACAAAACACAAGTATTTGTGTTCTTGACTTGTGTTTTTCTTGCAAGGCTACCAGTTTTCTCATGAGCAAATAGGAGTTTTCACTCTTACAACTTACAATTTGGTGTGAAAAAAATTAAGAATTATTCTGTGCTATATCTTAATGTGATTAGAAAAAAAAGAAATTAATTTTCATTTCAGTCATTAACTGTTTCTTACAGAAAGCAGTCACGATTTTATGTGTACTTATATGTGACTCAGTCCATCACCATCTTTTTTTCTGGTATAACTATTGAATTGAGTGAGATCTAGCAAATAAAAGCAATGCTCAACAATTAGTTTTGGAAGAACAGGTAGATGGATTACAGACAGGAGAGTACTCTGCTAAAGGCGAGGCTTGGCAGCCTGTATTTTTTAGACAGAAAAAGAAGTCTAGGTGTGGTATTCTTAAATGAATTTTTCATAAAGAACTTGATCATCATAAAAGCAAGCATGCTTTCTTGCAGATTTGTCTTATTTTTTTGATCTTTCTAAGAATACTTTCCCTATTTTTTGATCTTCTGGGGATCCTTTTGGAAAAGGTCAGTAAATCACAAGGCACTGCAAAAAGCATGTTTTGATTTGGCAATGGGTGTGTAGCTCTGAGGGATGTTCAAATCTAGAAGCTGTAATTTAAGAGACTGAATACTTGTTTAAACTTTTCTTATTGCTATGCATTTGTCATAGGTACAATTTGTCATCTTGTGAACAACCTGTTTCACTGCTCTTATTATAGGAAGGCTATAGGGATGGAGTTGAGGCTGGGAAAGAACTTGCACTCCAGAAGGGCTTTAATCAAGGTTACAGACACGGTGCCGAGCTGATGATTACATGTGGCCAGTTCAAAGGAACCCTGAAGTAGGTTACAAACTCCTTAAGGTCAAGTGCGTGTGGAGTGTGTGTATGAAGGGAATATGCATGCAGCTTTTTGTTTGTTTTAATTTAAAAAAAAAAAAAAAAGTGCATTGTAAAACTGCCTACCTGGGTGTAGAGTGATCATTACTGAAAAACCTCCTTCAGTTGCTCTTCCAGAATTAACTGAATCTACATCTTTAAGCTTAATATTTACTTCTACTGCTTGAATTATCCATAAAATGTGAATGAAATATACACTTGTATAGCATTGATATCATAGCATTGATATCTTGGCACATTGTTATCTGTCTTCGCCAACTGGAGGTCTGTGTAGATACATATAATCACTTTTGGTTTTGTTCACTTTTCAGTGCTCTCTTATCCTGGTGTCATTTTAATGGACATGATTCTGCTTTAAATAAGATAAATAATCTTCTTGACGTGGTTGGAAAGCATGAAGAAGATGTGTTTAAGTATCTGAATTCTGTTGAAGAACAGCCACATCTCAGACATGTTTTAGACTCTGTTGAGGACATGGACCTTAATCACACACCTTCAGCTGGGACAGAGTACAAGGAAGTTACAGATGGAGAACAAGAGGATGGTGGCAGCTCTGGTGAAAACATTTGTAGAAATAATGGTGAGGCTGGTTCCTTGCAGTCTGAGTGCAGCAAGGCAAACCTCTGCACAGATCCTGAAAGGTCAATGCTTGATTGGGTTAAAAAGCAGACTGTTTGGCTTCTAGAGCAACTGGACTTACCATTGGATATACTCCATCATGTCCAGCAACTGGAACATTAGTTTTTCTGTCTCATGGTACTTAAAATTATCTCAACTGGTTTTGATTCTCACTTTGTGGACCATGTACAGGCTGATGCATCACTTTGCTTTAGGAAAATCTGATCTTTTCAGTACAAGTAATTTTCCAGTACAAGTAATTATTGTAAATCTTTACTATGCTTTTGGCTCCTGGCAACCCCCTCACTTTTAATCTTAAAGGTAACATTGACAGAAAGCTCTCCGTGGGCAACATTGACTTTTAAAGCTCTCCGAAGCGTTACTAAACATGTTTCTGTTCTGTATCAGAAGCTCTCATTTCACCATTGCTTTCTCTTGGCAGCTATTTGGAAATAAAGCAAGTCCATTAAATAGCCCCTCTAAATTGGTTCCCTCTGCTATCTAAAGAATAAATGCCTAGTGCTATGGACAAGCTGCTCTTGCGGAATAAGCTGCTGTTGATGATATGCTAAATGTATGCAGAATAGAATAGGATTTGCTGCTGATTCCTGGAGTGCTGTGACTCTTTAGTCACTATATAAAATATAAAATTTTGTCAAATTCTTCCTCTTATCTTTTGTAACCACTACACAATGCATTTTCACAATTAAGAACTATTTTTCCTTCTTGTACAGTTCTATTTATTTCATTTTTGCTGAAAATACACCATTTTTCTCAAATTCAGAATTACTGACACTTCCACCATCTACTTTTACCCTGTCAGACCACACGAAACATGCTTCCAGTCTAATGAACATCCTTGTGTTATTTTTGTATTTATTTTGCCAATCCCTCAAGCCTGAACTCTTTCCCACATTCCCATAATGTTTTTCGCAAACTCTTCAAGGAAGCCAGGCTTATTCACTACCTCTTAGAAACACGTCAGCCACACATGCATATTTCTGACCACTTTGTATTCTGTATTCTGCCAGAATTCTATATTTGATTCATTTTCTTGTTGCTTGCTTTAACTGTAGTTGTAAACTGCTCTGTTCGGGAGGTTTTTTCTTGGTGAATGCCTCTATTTTACACTAATTAAACTGTTTTATAGTAAGTTAAGAGTTTGCTTGTTTTAAGTTGCTTTTAACCCTCCTTCATATCTGAGGCAAAGCAAGTCTAGACAGAGACAAACTAAAATTTTGAACAGTTGACTTGACTATACTTGAAAAAAAAAAAACAAACCACACACCCACAAAACACTTTCAATACTTTGAGGCCAGAAAAAAAACTAAGGCAAAAATTACTTGATTTTCAGAACCTGAGTTTACAGCTTTCTTGCTAAAGATACTGTTATCCTGCCACAGAGGTGGTAGAGTGTAAGTCTAGTTGCTGTTCAGTAGCTCTCTTGCTTTAGGGGTAAAGAAAACTGCAGTTAAGTTATTGGACCTGTTTCTGAAACAGTGGACAAATAGGGCTGTCTGCATTAATTGTGCCTGTACAAAATTATTCAAATATCTTTTTCTCCATTTATTTAGCATAATGTTGATGTGGATAAACATTCCTTTTCTACCAGTGCATGCATGTGTTAAAGACTGCATCATGTATAATAAACAGATTTCTTCCATATTGTGGTGGAATAAAGGTTACTAGAGCAGTGTTAGATTTCCAAATTTGAATGTTTAAAAATGCAAATTAAGGGTATTACTTCTACATATTTAATATTGTGCAAAGAGGAAACACCTTTCACAAATTACTAAGTAGACTTTCTTTTTGCTTATCAACCAATAGATTTTATTTGTCTAACATAACAGCTTCTACATTAGCTACAGAATTAATTTTCCTCCGCTCTGCAGAGAGTTTCTGTTCTGGGTGAGAGGTTACTTTTTTCCATGCTATCATCCAGAGTTTCCAGTTTGGCTGTGGAGAGATTTTCTTCTGTGCTTTCTGTAATACTTGGCTTATCTGTCACTACCAAATCATGCTGACCAGCCACAGAAGGGCTTTCTTTGAGACTATTAGAATCTGTAATTTGCTCAGATGGTGGTTCATGTGGTTGTTTTGTGTCTACATCCATGTCTTGTGTTTCACTATCAGCTTTCACCTTGGCAGCATTCCTGAAAATAGCTCTCATGACAACTGGGACTGACATGCAGCTGAAGAAGGAAATGACACATTAGTCACTACTGCAGACTGCATTCATTCATTAAAGTACTTCTGTTTTTTAAACTGTGGCTGACACCAGAATGAAAAACAGCTCTACCTCTTTGCATCTTTTTGCCTCATAAAACCACGTGTTATATTGTAACCGCAATATAAACTGCGTGCTGCACCAGAAACAAATACAGTGCTGGATCTTTGAACTTAGTGGTGCAAAGAAGTTTTGAAAGAGGGGAGGGTTTGGTCAGAAAAAAAGTCATAAGGGTGCTTCTGATGAAAACCTAAACTAATAATGTTGAAATATATTCATTCTTGCTGAGTTTTGTAACTTTCATGTTTTCTGTAAGACAGGTAGAGAGCATATCTTTTCTAAAACACTATCTACACTGAAGGAGGTTTTTTCCCCACTCTTAACATGGTTCCAATTAAATACTACCCAGTTTAAAGTTGGGTTCAAAATCCAGCCTACATTGATCATCTTGTTATCAAACAGGTAACAGTAGTATGCATACTTATGGCACTTTGTTCTGAAAAGAAGCACTGATTGCTCTTAGGTAGATGTGTACAAAGACCTTTCCATGCTATTCTAAGTTATACTAGTCATGAGACTGTCATCAGCTCGTGTCTTCAGAAAAGCATATTTACAAAAGAGAAAAGCATAAAAGATAAAACTCTTCATTCAAAAGTCTTTCCCTGCTCCCATGTGCTTTCTACCAGAAACACTTAATCACTATTAATGTTTAAAATTTTTGAAAGAGATACTTAAGACACTGAAATAACTTATTCCCACTGCTGTATTACAACTTTTTCCTAGAGTGAAGTTTTCCATTTGCTGAGTGTATGGCATTATGAACAAACATATTTCCATTAAATGGACATCTGATGTTCATTCCAACTGTTATGAAATAAAATAAAACTACTTACCGCTTCACAGCTCTTGCTATGAAATCATCACTGCAATTTAGAGCTGGATCTTGAGGATTTAACTGAACGTGACAGTGGACTTCTCTGGAGGTTATAACATCAATTATCACTAAGAAGGAACAGAACAAAAAATGCTTGTTTTGAAATACTTACGAACACTGAAAATCATCCTTTCATTTTGACACTTGAAGAGATGTAAGACTGAAGTCAGTGGGCTGGGGTTTGCAAGCAGTGCATTTGTGTGACTTGCTTTTTCTTAATACACTTAAATCACAAATAGAAGTTACCATTTATTCATTAAATGCAGGTCAAGACAAAACAGGATTTGAATATTTTCATTTACTTTCTGTTTTATTCTGAGTACAGAATACCTGTAAGCAGTTTACACACAGATGATACTTTGTGGTTTTCATTGCCTGCACACCACTGAGAGTGGCCCTTAGAATTTATTTGTTACTGAGAAGCATAATGCAAGAGCCTAGACAGAACCAAGACCCTTGCCAGCTGAGTAAAGATGACAGTATCAATTATTCCACACATACCACAGGCTAAATTCTCTTCCACAGGATGAAGGAAAAAGACACAAAAGCTGGTGTTCCTGTGTGGTACCACTTCAAAGTAAAGCAGTTCTGAATCATCTAGAAATAAAATTACTGTTTAGTGATATCCACCTATTGAATCTGGACTCTTTTTGGCTGAAACATATGTCAGAATTTAAAAAATACTGATGCAGTAGAATCTAATTATTCATTACTTTGACAACTTAGTTTATGCATATAGAAGTGTCAGGCCTAGGAGATAGTAAAAAAAAAAATTCAATACAGTGTTAAGAATTTTTTTATCATTTACCACACTTCACAAGTAATGACAGTTTTGGCAAGGGAGCAGTAATATCTGTTAACACCCAGTTTAGAAGCTAGTTGCTCTCTAATTCTCTGCCATCAATTCCAACCACACAATTTACCTTCATTTATATGCTTGTCAGAGACACAGCTGCTAATAAGAGTGTTATATGCCACTTGATGTCGAAGAATCTCTATTACACCAGGCACACACTTTGGATGGCTAAATGGGATTTTACTGACCAAGGCTCCTGCTAAATCTGATTTTTCTGAGTCTTTGTTTATGAAGTAACAGTGCTTTGGGCAATCTGGAAGAGACTAAGCAACAAATATGGTGATATTTCAAGCACTGAAAACAGGAAAGTTTGATGTTAACAGGCAACTGCAAAATCTGACAACAAGAATAATTTTGAAATACACATTTCTAACATGTCCATCATGTCTCTGCACTTCAGTAAAAGTAGAATGCTTAGATAAGGAAGCTAAATGAGATCCAGTCTCCCTCTCAAACGCATTCAAATTAGGTGAATGTACCTAGAGCCAAGTGGTCAGGAGTTCAAGTACCATCAATCCTTCCAATTATTTTTGAGAGCCCTGTAGTCTATAGAAATGTTAGAGAACATAGAAAATATTCTATAACAGTTGGAATAACAATAATAATAAATACTAAACAATAATAATAAACACTGTTATATTCTACAACAATAGAAATAGAAATGTGATAGAATGTGTTCTATCAACCAAGATTTACTCTCACAATAATATAGTAGCGCTGCTTGACAATTGCATAAAAAGGATAGCAGTTTTGCCTGAAATCTCTTCGGACATTCATATATTGTTCCGCCCTCCATCACTACTACTTTCTTTGGAGCAGCAGGTTTGACTGGAGTATCTCCTGATGATTCATTTGTAAAGGAGGAAGTGATAGTAAGAAAAATTTGTCACCTGTCCACATTGACAGTTATTCTGTGACAAAGTTAGAAGTGCAGTATTGTGTTATGTACTTCAGGATGCCAAATGGGACCTGTCACCTTAAGAACAGGGCAGGGCTGTTAATTAGCAGGGTTTACACTAAAAAAAGCTGAAGAGCAGAATAAAAGAGTTTTTCCTTGTGTGTTTGTGGAGCAAAAGGATTTCCCCTACATTTATTTCAAGGTTAGAGCGCAATTTCGTGATTTATTCTAGAAATAAAATATTTAAACTCAGAAGTAAAACAATCTCCCAGCAAGTACTAATATTTTAGGGAATTTCTGAAAAGTTACAGAGCCTTTCATGTGTATTTAATAGAAGTGAAAGATTAATTCCATCTTACCAGTTTTATAGATAAGAGCTTTGCCAAACATTACTTTAGCACAGTGTAAACTTACTACTACCTTCTGTACTACCACCTCAAAGTCCAAGAATTAAGTAGGCAATGGGCTCTGCTAACACTGTTAGCAGAATAGAAAAAAAGTACCCTCTTGTTTTGTTGCCATGATGTGCAAAATTAATGTTACCTAGCAAAAAAAAAGTAGATCTTTAAGGCTTGTCTTATAGTTGCCCTGTACATAAGTCTGGCAGAAGGCATCTTAGCTACCATTTTGTATTCTAAAATTTTACATCAAATGCAGCCTAATTAACTATTTTTAATAATGCAGTTATTAAAACAGAAGTCTCCTTCAGTTAAACAACCTTGTCTCTAGATAGCAAGTGACATCGCTGTTTTAACACTTTATACTTTTCCTGCTAGTCCCTTTAAAAGAAATCAGTATTCTCAGTGCTATCTAATTAAGAAATCTCATTTTTTAAAACAGTGTGACATACAGCATGATAAAGACCTTAAAAAAATCTAGGTAAGTACCTTCTTGGGACTTGTTCCTCACACCAGTCAATAAGTTTCCTTCTTTTTAAGGCATTAAAGTTCTGACCAATTTTTAGAAGAATAAGTATTTAGGTTACATACAGACAAATTAGTGTGACTTCAGGAGCCAAGCACACAGTGTTTCATTAACAAGGATGAGAAACTCACTTACTTGAAAGGATCTAATATTGTTTTGTAATTACTTGAACTATTTCCTAAAGAGCACTTAAATACTGTTGGGTTCTGGTAAGTCTACATGGCTTGTTTATGGGGAAATATAATTCAATATATGTATCTTGCACAACAGCATAATGTGTGTCAAATGCCCACTATACTCACCACAAAGAAACAAGATTCATTTGTAGACAAGCCTTCACTGCGTTTTTCTTTTAGAGCAGACTGAACAATTAGCTCATACAGCGGAGCTAGTTTCAAGCCAGAAATCTGAATTCCTGAAACCAGGTGATTTTTTTTTATTATCAATTAGGTTATGACTGTAGGTTAAGAAAGCTAATATTAAAAACAAAAGTAATGTTTTGAGAAGACAAAACCATTGACCTCTTTTCTTATTCCCCTTTTTTTGCTATTGGGAATTTGAGGTAGAGTGTTTTAACAGCTTTGTCCGTAATTGGCATATCTTTCTTAGAACTTTTGCAGTTTGCATTGGTTGCTAATATGTTACACTTCAGCTGATAACACAGAATATGTTCTGCCCCAGAAACAACTTTTTCCACTTGCAACATTAACGCTAGGAAATAAAAAGCAAATATGCAACGCACAGAAGTACTTAGCCTTAAAAAACAATTATAACATGCCTGTGAGCCTCTGTATATCTTCAATACTGGATGAGGACATAGGAACAGGCTGATGAAACTTCAGCACAAAAAGAGCTGGCAAATCCATGGTGAGTTCATCAGTCAGTTGCAAAAAAGCAGGGTTGCTGAGAAAAAAAATTATCATAATGAAAGTTTTTTACAGAAATTGCCATAGCAAGAACTCTTAGTGTAAGGCCACTATCAGGTCCCTAGCAGTTTATTATATTCCAGACTTCTGACTTGACTAAAGTTTTGATTTATAAATGCAACTTTAACATATTAAAACATGCTTATTTTGAAAACTGGCAGAAAGGAAAAGTGAGACACCCAAAACTGATTGAAGTTTGCTATCATTCCAAAGTGTTTTGTTTTGGAAAGTTACTTCAGACATTCCCTCCAGCCAGCACTGAGATTGAGAGAGTTGAGGTAATGATACACACAGTGGGACAACAAACTATTTCGTGTATTTTAGGTGTAGTATCTTTCAATATATGCTTTCTTTGCTCTGAAACTATGAAGGAGTTGGTTGTTGAATACTAGGAAGTTAAGCAATATTGTTGCAGTGGCTAGCTCTGGCTTCAAATCTATGAATAAATCCACAGTTCAATGCAACTGACACAGTTAAATATGAACACAATACCTTTAGAGTCCATTTGGGAAAACTGTAAAAGCCACAGATTATAGAGGGTTTAGCTACGGAGCATAATGCCATCAATAAAACAGAGCTTCCTGTTTTAGCAGAGGCTAAATCTAAGTTACGCTGAAGTTAGTGCCGATGACTTGTAAATCTGTAAATCCATTTCTGTATCGAGAAGAGTCCAGAGCCTCACCTGTCCTCTCCAGATTGAGGATCTACAATCAGTGGAGAAAGAGGAAGTTTGTGGAGCATATCACTGCCTTCAACAGTTACAACTGTTTTTGTTCCACAAACCTGGGAACCTGAGGGAGTAAGAGAATTGCATTCAGTGTAGATTAATCCTATGCATGCAAAACATGCAAGGTCTCTGAAGGTCAGGTCCGACTGACAGGCACAGTGGTGCAGGCAGAGAGAAGTCTGCACAGATCACACCCAAAAGGCCAAAGTTTCCCAAAGATAATAGCAGCAATAGCTTCTTTTGAGACATGCCATGAAACAGATCAAAACCATCACCAGTCATTTTTCATGCTGAATTAGGCAGTTTTTTGTTTGATATCACTACAATTTTAGTCAATATCCAAGAAATGGAAAGGAGTTTCCTGATAGACACTAAAATTGTGCTAAAGTGCATCTCATAAATAGTTCTACTAAACTAGAATTTTATATTTCTTAGTTTCATTAATTGCTTAATGAAATAGGCAGCACTGAAAAGCTTATCACAATAGTTATTTCTGCTTTTCTAGCTTTACCAGGATTTAGTTCTGCTTCCAAAATTTGATAGGGAGAAATGTAAAATTCAATGTTCATAGGAGTTCCTGAGGAATGGAAAAAGAAAAATAATGTTTACTACAAAGGTCAGAGGAAATATGTTAAGTACCTTGAAACAATGGTGAAAAAAACCAACAGTGTAGATGGGCAGAGGGGATTCCTCATAAGAGTACATTTCTAATTACAATTTATGTTCAAATCACAGGATTTTCTTAGCGTGTAAGAGCTAAACCCTCTGTGTATAAATCATCAGATGTCTTTGAAATCTGATTAAATTAATTTCTCTTGCACAATAAATAGCCTGTTGTTCAGCCAAAGAAATACTAGCTGAACTTCTAGCTTTCAATGACTATTCAAAAATAAAAGGGAAAGTTGCACTACTGGCATAAGGGACACAAGCTGTACAACAGGATAGTGGAAGCGTGTATTAGAAGTACTTTTCTGAACTATAACAGATTTATGGTTAAAGCTCACTTCTGACAGTGCAGATGAGCCAAAAAACTCATCAACTGGCTGTATTTGCCTTCTAGGCAACCAGAGCATTCTCTCAGTGACTGCTGCTGTCATCTCATGGTTACTCCCAAACTGTAGTTTCTCACCCAACCTCAGAATATTGCTGGCTTTGCTTTTAGGCTGCTGCAAAGTCAATGTTGCAGCAGCTGATAAACCACCTGGCCTCTCTGTATTTTCTCCTTCTGTGTGTCTGTACATTATCTGAGAATACAGGCACAGTAAGTCCCTACAGCAGGTTTTATTTATAATAGTGGATCTTTCCTGTAAACAAAGATCAACTCGGTAGGGTTTTTAAATTACAATCCTTGGAATTTGGAAAGGGGAAAAGAGGGAGAAAAAGAAAAAAATCACCTCCAGTTCTTGGCACCAGGTGTCCTACTTTGCCATGAAGTATTTCAGTAACTCTGTTTACATCTTGTGTTCTAGTTCAAAACACATCTTGATTAGTGTTTCCTGAGTTGCAGTGCTAGCTAGGCTAATGTAAATCATAATTTGTATTCTTAATCAAAGGGAGATGATGCTTTCTTGCAAGTAGATTGTGTCTCCACTTGTTATGACATCTTCCAAACACCATCATTCCACTCATACATTACTTCTAGATCTTGGACTTCCAGTTTCAACCCTGTATCTAAGCTGTTTCAAGTTGCACTTTGATGTGCTATTTACCAGAAGTGAAGGGGGTCAAAAGTGTTAGAGTGGTAATTGGTTGGCAAAGAATGAGGAAATAACCTAGATAATCTAAAACAGAACCAGTCTCTAACCACAAATGTGTTCATATAGCTGAATACATACAGCCATACATTTACATAGCTGTGTACTAAAACACCGCGTTGCAGATGGGACAATCAATCAGTTTAACTCATAAATAATACTTACTGAGATCAGTGACCAGAAAGAATACAGTATATTAGTTCACAGAGTTATTATGCTTCCTAAGGGAATACTGTGCAAAAATAAACCAAGAGTGTGTTTCAAGAAGACCATACCTGCCAAGAGTACTTAATAGGCACAATATCAGAAAAGATACTTCAAAAATCCAGAAGGAAAACATTGCCCTCAATTCTGATTTTCTGAAAAGAATGAAAAGCCTTGTACAATTACAAGGCTTTAGAAAAATCTGTTTCCCATCCACTGTAATTCTACTCTTTGAAAGGAGAAATGAGAAAAGGAAGGAGGACAGCTAGCATCCACTACTCCTGATCTAAAATCTGAGCACAAATTGAGAAACCCAAACAGCAGAACCCCAAAAGGTATATTTTACTTCTTCCACAGGGCAATCTAAACATGACTGCTGACTTTCAGATTCACTGTTTTCTCCAAGTGGGTGGTCACATTCACACCCCCAAGCTCTGCAACCAAGCAGTTTCCCAGAAAGTCTTAGGTAAAGCACAGGAGTTCAGTAGATCTTGTTTGGCATACCTGGGGTTGCCAAACTGCAGAAAGGCTTCGAGCTTTTTAGTGGGAGAAAACTCATTAGCATTCCACATCCTTCTATATAATTAGATCAGTTAACTTGTTCTTTAGTGAAATGAAGGGGTGTAGGTGGAGGTAAAGGGAGAAAGACAGACTTTAAGTTACCTGTCCAGAAGAGACATTGAATAAAGGTCTTTTTCAAGGGCCTTCAAAGCAAGATATCCCTTAGCTTTTATTTCACTGGGAGAGAGAGAAGACAATTTATTATTTTTGTAAGTAAACAAATGCAAGGCTATAGATTTTACAAGTTTTTCAAGTAAAAACTAGCTGCAACCTGTTTCCTGGAATTTGATACATATTTGACAGGTCTTCTAAAATCTTTCCAAAGGCATCATAGTTCTTCATCCTAACAAAAAGAAATAATTGCTATTACACTACTAAATGAGATGGAAAATAACTCTTTTATATGCAACTTGCTAGAAAAAGTGTCATTTCAGAGGTGCTTCCTCCTTATCAGATCTGGCAAGAAGCAGTACTGCTTTTCAATTTTCTTAGAAGATATGAGGAAATGTGAATCCTTGTTTCTGTTGCAAGAAGCACTGATTATAGCTGAAACTGCCACTGAAATACACACTACTAAAAGCAATAAATGTACATGAGACATAAATTTGACAGCTCATCAGTTGCAAAACACTTTTCTTGATGTTCCAATAAAGCCTGTCATTCCCTTAATGCCACACGTGTACATTGTTTTCTTCATCAAAATACCAAGTATTGTATTAATGCTGCACTTCACAGCACCCTGTGAGAGACACCCTCAATGTAATTGATAAAAACAAGCAAAAAAAGAATGGGCCAAGTGGCTTGGTTTATGAAGGAGTGGTTCAGACTGCTCAAAACCCAGAATTCCCACAGATATCACAGACTAGCTGTGATAGCCTGGAGCTCTGCTCAGACCATTAACGTATTAACTCATCTGCTTCAGTAATTTTACTGAGTTTTACAGGTCTTAGTAGACTCTTTGGTGCTGCAGTCATGCCGACAGCTGTACTCCAGAAGACCTGTGCAGGTGCAGCTACAACGTGCATCACCAGAGACAAAAAAAGCCAGCCTGGACTTTCACATTGGAACAAATCCTTTCAAAACAGGAACCTAAACAAATCACTCAGCTCTTCCATGACTCTTTCCAACTGGACTAGTGGGGAGGGAGGCAGGCAGGTAAACATGCTACAGGCACAGACACAGCACCAGCCCATGCATTAGCTGGCTGGTTCATCATGATTTCATAGTCACTTTGAGACTCACAGGAAACATTATACATATAACAAGCTGCCTTGCAAACAAATAAAATACTAAACCAAAGGTGTAGAAGGGATACTTGTACTTTATGACAAATCCTAACAAAACCAGGAAGGCAGGCAAGTAGTACCCACAGTACCACTGGTAATGATATTCGCTCAGAGCCAAACTTCCAGCAGTTAGTATCACTGGAAGTCAAAAATCTAGGAAAATGCAAGTTAAAGCTTTAAGACATAGGTGTTGATACCCACTAAGCTAATATAACTTCATTTCTGAGGAAAGAGAGGGCTGGGAAAACTGATAATGCATAATAGGTCCACTTAGAAGAGAGATGAAACACTCAAGGTCAATGATATTCTTTGTCTCTTTACCTTCCTTTTCAACTATTCTGCCAAGCTATTTACAGAAGAATCCAATTTCTTAAATATACTCATTATTAGTAAAACCTGGAACCGTGATCATATTGGCTAGAGAATTTCTAAATAGATGTTTAAAGTGGTGGCCTGACCTGGAACAGCAACTATTCAGACAGAACAAAACATGGTAATAATAATAAAAAATGTATATATAGTCCCCTACTACTATTTGAGAAAATTAGAGTAACATGTCCTTCTATGTATTTGCAAACAAACTTGGGCCATGTGATATCACTGTGCTTTCATTGCTGTCACAGAAATCTGATGGACATGTAATTTAAAACATTTGCATAAGGACAATATGAAGACTACTTAGTATTTGATGGAAGGAGAAAGGGAAAAGTAATATCTAGTTTGGATCTGTCAATCTGCCAGTTCTGAATTGTCATCATCAGTCCATTACCAAAACTATGGGTTCAATTATAAGTTCTATAATTCTTGCAATTAACACAAATGCCAGTATTCAAAGGCTGTGTTCAGCTGGCAACTAGAGCCAATGTATTGGGGAGTACTCTTTATCTTTTCTCCATTGAAACAGATGCATTTTAGCTGTTTTCAGCGGAGTGACTTGAGAAATAAGTAATGCCTGGAGTATATTTTCAAAATTATATTTGCTACAGTTTTAGCCTTGAATTTACAAACCAGAAGCAGGTACTAATGATCACCAACTTCCAATATGGAGCACTGGAAGCAACTACCCAGTTAAATGGAAGCCAAAAAGGTGTCAGTTCTGTTGTTTTCTGGATTCATATTTTTGGTTCCTGATTCTCTTTTTATTTTTTCTCTTCAGTTTTTACGCTGAAACCATTCTAGCCTCAGGTATTCCTTTCCATTTAACAAGAGACCCTGCACATGACTGTTTACCTTAGAAGCTGCACCAAGTCGTCACAAACCTACAGGAATAAGAGAGGAGTTTCATCATTCTTGCCATCCTTTGTGAAGCATCTCTTAAAAGCATTTCATTGGTAATGATAAGCTTGTTCCCCATTAATTTTAAGTAGCTGAATGGTTAGTCTAAAAAAAACCCAAACATGCAAAAACCAGACTAACAGTACAATAGTTAAAACATAGCATTACGCTAATAATTGGCAGAACAAAGGCTCTGTGAAAGAAGATAAAATTAACAGAAATAGATTGTTGGTAAATCTCTTTCCAGAAAAAAAAAAAAAGGCATCTTAGCCACCCCAATTTTTCTTTTATTGGCAGTTACAGTGCTAGAATTCTCTGGATATGTATTTCCGTCCTAATGATATTGTCCAGCACTCACTGATCAACAGCCCTGTGCTGCAACTAAAAATAAGGAACAAAATTAACTTCAAAGTAATGTAATAATTTGGATACTTACTGATAAAAACCAGACTTTATAGTCCCTGCCCCTCCCCAACAGCTTGTTGTTATATCTTTGATCTGAAGGACTGTCTATAACACATAACAACTGAGGAACATGGTATGTGAACTTCAGGGTAATATTTTGTGAATAATGGAAATTTTGCAAGACAAACATCCACCCTTGTAGGAATACACATACTCTTAAAGAAGCAGAAGGAAAAACAGAATAGCTCCAAGACATCCATTGAGATTGTATGTTTCCTTGGTAGGAAAATACTTAAAACACCTGTTATTTACTGTACACTGGTAACAGTGAAGTATGAGAATACAAATATTTAGGTGGGATACCACAAAATTCTTGGAAGGTGGGCATGACAGCTGACTTTTACTACACTATTTAGCAGTAGAGTATTTAGTATCTGTAACTGAGTTGAAAGTCTAGGTGAGAGGTTCAGATGCCTAAAGAAGTAGTTAGTGTCATGCACAGGCTTGCGGGTGTGACAAGACCAAAAGGAAGCCAAAGCCTTTCTTACATGGCAGCTGGAGGCCAGGTGGGAGAATACAAGGAGGTAAGAGACAGAAAATTAATTTTACCATAGGAGCTTCTCCAAAGTGAGCCAACTTTACATCCATCACATTTCCATCCTTTCCCAGCTGAGCTTCTAAATAAAACATCGTTGATGTTATGTAGCAGGAAGTCCCACTGGGACTAACATGAACATTAAGTCTGAGGAGAGGAAAAAAAGGGGAAAAAAAAAAAAAAAGCTTGTATATCTACAAATTCTGTCATATGAAGAGAGGAAATGAGGATACTTCACTTGATCGTGGGAAGAGACACCAGGGATGCTTCAAAAATAACTCCTCCTTGGCTCAGCTTCTGAAAACTACCCAACCAGGCAATATATTTGTGCTCTGCTCTTTGCATTATCCTGTTGATCTGCTGAAAACTTCAGTCTGCAGCTTTGGGACCCAGGCATTCCTGTCCTCTCTTCACCCAACAACCTCCTCCACAAAGGGCTAATTAAAATAGGCAGTTATCCCAGTTCCAAGTAATACACTTCATTAGAACACCAATTTTAAAAATAATATTGTTGATAAGCCATCCAGATGGTATTCCTCACTGGACTTGAGGCCATGCTTGCTCATTTGCATTTATTCATAAACAAACTTACCCTTTTTGTCTGGATAAAGATTCCAATGCATTCATCACAGAAAACATGGATTTAGCTGCAAAAAACAGAAATGCAATTTAATCAGTCTGCAGTGATCGAGAAGCAGAACCAGTTTTATCTTGCTTTAAAGGGTATGATTTAGGTAATGAGAAAATAGTGTCTCTTGAATGACTTGTTATTAATAACAACTATTACTCTAGGATTAATAAGTGCTGTACTGGGTAGAGATTATTCTCAGTCTTTAAGAATAGCTATCACCTGAAGGCTTAGCCCAAAAATGAGTCACAAGTTAGTCACAAGTCTTGTCTCATATCCACCTCTGTGTTTGTACATTCATTTGACCCCTTTGTGCAGAACATCAGCAACAGAAAAGGATGGGGAGATTCCACAGAATGCTAAAAATACATTTTGAGTTATCTGACAGCTCATTACCATGTAATGTCCTCTCTATCTTCTCCATGCAAGAAAGTAATGGACTGTCTGGAGCATGGCTAACAGGCCTTCGCAGGGGGTTATCCTAGCACATTTGTGAAAACAAGAGACAGAGTAAGACTCCTTAAAACACTAGCTAAGAGACACAGCACAGATTCTCAGTACAACAAAACACTGGTTATTTGTTTTTGTCAGACAGAGGTTTACCTATGATTGTAGGCATCTCGAAAGAGGAAGCACTGAATGGATTTGCGAAAACATTATTGTGCAGTAATTACATACCGGATGCCTTTGGAGCAGGGAGCAGCTTTCTTTTGAGCTGATCACAAGATGTGTTAGCTAATTTCACTGTGATGCTAGACATAAACTAAGAAAATACTTGTTTGTGTTTTTATTTTAGAAGGAATATGCCTGAGCAAATAGATCAGTAAGTACCACAGGTGTATTTGGTTAGAGTATAATGAAAATTTCAGCTGAAGATAGACACTTAAGTAGCAAGCAAACTCTCCCAGCTTCTCTTCAAGCTCTTGTCTGAAAAATTCTCATATTCACACTTCAACTCACAGAGAACATTCACTGCTGAAGAGTTTTCACTATGTTCAAATTCAGGACATTGTTTTCAGAGCAAGGCTTGAGTTAAGCATTAATAAAAAGAAGGATGGAAACAAATGGAACTTTTTATATCAAGCTCACATCAGTTGTGCTAATCTGCTTTTTACAAAGATGATTCTTAAATTAGCTACTGGAAGGGCAGGAAGCATGGAGTGATTTAAGGTACATCACAGCAGGAGAAAGTCTAGATAGCAGGTTTCAGACCAGTTTCTAAAAACCAGCATTTTCTCCCAGTCCTGTGGGCAATAAATTGTCTTTACATACTATAAATATGTTAAGGAGAACGAATGGAAAATAACCTAAAGTATTAGACAATCAGCACTAACTCCTAAATAGTTAAAATAATGCAAGAAGCAACCCCTAAAATGTTGAAACTAGTCGGGAAAATTTTTGTATCCTTTGTTGTAAGAAAAATCAGGAGCCAGGCTATACTAGGCAACAAGGTTTTGATGGGGTTTTCTTTTGCTTGTTTTTGGGTTGAGTTTTTTGTTGGCTGGTTTTGCTTGTTTATTTTTTAAAGTCAAGCAGTTTTTTAACTACCTTGACAACCTGCTCTTACACCACATATCCTTCTCACCTAACCTGTGATTCTTACCATGCAAAAATAAACAAGTCTCAGCGTTTCAGTCCATGGCCTTTGCTGGTATTTTAAACACAACTGTTCCATTAAAGCATTTGTAGAAATAGCTGTCACAACACCTGAAAAACATGTCAAAATTCTCTAAATGTAATGGTATGTATTTACATTGGCATCTAGAAATGTAGAAGGAAGTAAAATATAAAACCTTGTTAAGGTCATAGATGTTATGGTTCAACGGAGGAGGTAGAAAGAAAATCTTTTGATGAATTTTGCATACAAATATCTAATTTCCATAAGACTTTTGACAGAAAATGGGTAGGGGAGATTTTGTATGGGCAAGTATTCTCAATATTAAATATAGATATGCAGCCCTATCTTCAGTTTGTTAAACAATTAGACTTTCTTTATCTATGCCCAATTTCGTTTGTGTATTTTTAATAAATACCAAGACTCTGCCTTGGATTTGAGGCATCCAGATTTGTACACCCACCTAGAGCTCATTGTAATTAGAAATTAAAAAGTAGAGATAATTTTTTTTTTTGATGAGGGTGTTGAGACATTAGAACAGGTTGCCCAGATAGGTGGTTGATGCCCCATCTCTGCAAACATTCAAGGCCAGGTTGGATGGGGCTTTGAACAACCTGAAGATGTCCTTGCTCATTGCAAGAGGGTTAGAGCAGATGGCTTTTAAAGGTCCCTTCAAACCCAAATTATTCCATGATTTTAAAAAGGATAATCTTAATGCGGAGGTGCAATGTGTTTTTTGGTGTTTGGTTGGATGTCTACACCATTTGCATACACAAAGGAGGAACAGAAAGTAGGGGCTGGCAGCATCTTCCTCTTGCAGGGAGGATGACAGAGCAGCAACAGTCCCCTATAAATCAGGCCACCCCAATCAGCTGGAGAAAGGGGAAGCAGTAGACCCCCAGTAACTCTTGCAAGCACCTTTACCAGCAACATGGCCTCACTAATATTCCTACTCACCCACCTGTTCATGCTAACAGAAAAACTGCAACCCACACCATATCCCTATTCCCACTGTAAGATATCAAGGCTCCTATTTGTAGCACCCCAGGTGTGCAGAAGGCTTGCTCTCTCAAAAAAATAGTCCTCAGGTGCTAGTGTTTGAACCTGAAGCTACATAAGCACAGCAACATCAACTCTGCTATTTTTTAGAAGGGATACCCTGTCAGCCATTCTCTTTTACATCTAAGTCTTAGGAGAAGGCATAATGTCTCTCCTCATCTTTTCCAAAGGTGTAGTATTCTCAGACAGAGACTGAGTTTAACTGGCTGAGAAAGGCAGTGTGAGGTATGATAGCAACAATCACTCAGCAAAATAGGCAAGCACTCCATATGGAAGCCTTTAGTTTAGCTCAGAGGTGGAAGGAGTTTAAAAAAAAAAATTATTATAGCTATCTCTAATATTTGTGTTTTATTTCACAGAGTATCACAGAATATGCCAAGTTGGAAGGGACCCACAAGGATCACTGAGTCCAACTCCTAGCCCTGCACAGGACCATTCCTAAGTCACACCATGTGCTGGAGAGTATTGTCCAAATGCTTCTTGAACTCTGTCAGTTTTGGTGCTGGGATCACTTCCTGGGGAGCCTGTTCCAGCACCCAACCACCTTCTGGGTGAAGAACCTTTTTCTAATATCCAACGTAAGCCTCCCCGAGACAAGTCTGGGCCATTCTCTCATGTTTTGTTACAGACCACCACAGAGAAGAGATCAGTTCCTGTCCCTCTGCTTCCCCTCATAAGGAAGTTGTAGACTGCAGTGAGGTCTCCCCTCAGTCTCCTCTTCTCCAGGCTGAACACACCAAGTGACCTCAGCTGCTCCTCATTCAGCTTTCCCTCAAAGCCCTTCACCATCTTTGTTGTCCTCCTCTGGACACTCTCTAGGAGCTTAATATTTTTCTTATATTGTGGCACCCAAAACTGCACACAACATTCAAGGTAAGGCCACCCCAGTGCAGAGCAGAGCAGGACAATCCCCTCCTTTGACTGGCTGGTGATGCTTTGCCTGATGCCCCCCAAGGACACAGTTGGCCCTCCTGGCTGCCAGGGCACTGCTGACTCATATTCAACTTTCTGTCAACCAGGACCCCCAGGTCCCTTTCTGTGGCACTGCTTCCCCAGTCTGTCCGCACATCCAGGGTCGCCCCATCCTAGGTACAGAATCCAGCACTTTCCCTTGTTGAACTTCATATAGTTAGTGATTGCCCCGCCCTCTAACGATATTTCTATACTGCTTATTGCCATTAATATACTTGAAAAAACTATTTTTATTGTCCCCTCCATTTCTGGCCAGCTTCAACTCCAGCTGAGCTTTGGCGGCATGGTTCTTCTCCCAACAGCAGTTAAGTAACATCTCTGAATATATGTATGTGTGTCCTTTTGTGGCCACCTCATGTTGCTAGTCTGCTTCTACATAGGAATTGGTGCACAATGGCAGTGGAGGTTCAAGGTTTAATCCTGGACCTTTGTAGAGGCAGTAGCTCGAAATAGGGAAGTTCAGTTCACTGGGGAATGCCAGGTCTACAGCAGGAGCATGTCTCCTGCATAAACCCTGGGTGGCAATGTTTCAGGATACCTTTCAGCAGACCTTCTGTTATCAGCTGTCACCAGTCATACTGCACTGCCTGAAATAGTCTCATATCACAGAAAAGAGATGATTTTGGACTTGTATGTAGGAACCTGAGTAGAAACTAAATAGTTCACTGGCCTCACGAAGATTACAGAAAAAACTAAGCATGGGCCTAGGAATCCCAGGAGAAGTATATGGTAGGTGCCAAAAAGTGATATTTGTCTCCAGACAAGTGTCAAGCACACTTCTTGGGGAAAGCCAGTGCAGCTGAAAGAGTTAAATATGTTTGCATTTCAGCTTTACAGTTGTGATCAAGTAATTCCACACTTGTGGTAGATCACACTCCCCTAAAATTATTGGCTTGGTTTATACTATTAAATATTCATTATTTTTAAACCTGACATTAGCAGTGAATCATGAGGTATAATCATGAGCTTTACCTGTGACTTGGTGCATTCATTTTAAAACATGTTTTCAGCATTTCTAGGGAGGCATTTTAGCTTAGGTTTGGTTGACCAATGTATTGGAATATTTTCTGTGAGCAAGAACATGTGCTATGGCTCATGTAAAACAAGTAGGTTACCTCAGTCCAGATCATGTGAATGGGTATGTGCCCATAAGACAAACAACTTGGTAGTGCTTAATATTTTAGTGGTATTTTTCATAAATGTTTGCCCAGATCCATAGCTCGTTGGAGTCTCTGTGATCTTGATACTGACTCCAGTGGTCTGATCATGTCCTGAACTAGCAGAAAAGTAAACTATTTGCTGACTCTCTTGAAGAGAACACTTCCAAAATAATGGAAGGAAATATCCATCGCTTACCTTGTCTGCATAATAGCTGTTCTGCAAATAAATAGAGGACTTGGAGTTTAATTAGTCATGGTCCAGCATGGCTGATAAGCCTGAAATACACTTTAATTTTTGAAAACAAAAAAGCCTTTTTCCATTGTGCTCAAATGTATGTATTTAGGTAAATAAATTTGCATCATTTTTCCAGGAGAGGGACAGTACCAGATTTTCATATAAGACAAATATTCCAAGACAAATAGTAGCCTTCACACTTACACAAAATTGTAGCTTTGGCTAAAATCACACATAAGAAACACCAGCTTACGGATTGTCAGAAAGTTCTTTGGAATTAGGTGTTTTTCCAGTATTCAGAACCTCATATCAAATTACTGCACTCAAGAGGAGAGTGAAGTGTGATGAATAATTAAAAATGTTCTATTTATAGCTTCTCAGGCATATTAAATACACAAATGTTTAACTGGGTCAGTTCATAGCAAAAAAAAAAAAAAAAGGCAACTGGTCAAGCATTATCATCACTATGGAAGATAAACGGAATTACCAAGTGAATCCTGAATGCCCACTGCTCTAGATTACTCTATGACTGTTCATCAAAAACTATTGCTGCAAAAATCTTTCATGTGCACAGTGACTAAATAAGTTGTCCCCAAAGAAAATCTTCTCTTGCTCTCAAATAACCTAGTTATCTTACCCCTTTTAAAGGGTAAAACTGGTATGCTTCTTCAGGCACCTTTTGAGAAATTTATTATTACTACTTGGCTTATTTTGTCATGGTTCTCTGCATCTTGCTAAATTCGACTCTAATATGCTTCACAATGCATGTCCTGTGAACATTGAAATTCATATGCAAATAGCATTTTGTAAATTCATAGTTCTAACATTTCTAATGATTTTTGAATTTCATAGAATGGTAATTTGTTTTTCTTAGAAAGAATAAACATATTTTCCACTCATATTCTTGCATGAATTCAAGTAAACTATTTGTTTCAGTGAAGATACTCTAGATTTATTACAGAACAAGAAAAAGCTTTGCTTACTGTTGATACATTTTAATGATAGCAGTTTTGAAAATACTCCAGGTATTCCATAATCAGTGCAACATTGGTGTATTTTTTTGTTTCTAGTTTATTTTGGTAGGCTGGGAGTTGCTTTTTTCTATTAATCTTATATCTAGCCTTGATTTTTTTTTTCATCTGAAGAATAAAAATTCAAAATAAATCACCAACAGTACATCTTCAATGGCCTGCTCCCAGTGCTTTCTTGAAATTGCATCTTTCCAGAAGCCCTCAGGTGAACTTCTGACCAGAGAAAACAGCAGTTACATAACAGCCCACAGTAAGCCTAAATACAGAACTTGGGCCTGGAGCAGTCAGTAAAAACCAGTGGTTCCAGTTAGAATGGCAGGATGTGTAAGAGTTGTCACTGTGATTATGAGATCAGAGCTAAAATTGTGTTCTTTCCCAAAGTGCCATGGGATTTTACAGCAGTGATAGGGCTGTAAGATGGGCATGCAACTGGAACACAAATCAGTGTTTACCAAAAATGATGAGCATTCAAACAATTCCTTTATCTATCTTAGGTGCTCTTCCATCTAAGGCAGGATAAAACCACTGCTGCTTAACTTTTATGACCCAAAGCTTAGTCTGATATGGTCTATAGTTTAAGACTTTACAACCCATAAATACTATAATATGTTCCATCATATTTCCTTCACTCTCTACATCATCTCCACAGTTATGGAGTGTGAATATTTAGTTCCTGGCAGTAACATCAGAATGTTGGTGGCTGTATTTTATTTCACTACAGCCATATAGAATGAGATGGTTTTACTTTCTTTAGCACTTCTGGCACTGGAGTCCGAGGCACTTAACACTGGCAGGCTTTGACTCTTTCCTGCGCCTTCACTGAAAGCGATTAAGATCCTTCAAAGTCAAAGGCTGTTTAGACAAACATGAAAAAAATAGGTCCATAGCAAATGACCATGGGTGCAGAAAGGCGTTGACACTGACAGGGCGTATCTCTTCCTCGGCACAGAGTCAAGATATGGCTAACATGTGATTTCTGCCTGACATTAGCACTATAATTTCCAAGTAGTTCTTGTCTAAATCTTTTCCCGAAGGCACTAGAACCATGCAACCACGATTTAAATAACTTCATGAATGAACATGTGAGGGCTGGCCTTACAAGAGCACATTTTCCCTTTACAAGGTTTCATAGGGCACCCTAACTGGTATTTATAACTGAACATCTCTCATCTTTCTAAGACTCATTTTTATAACTAAAATCAGGTATTGTATCATCATTAATGTTCTTTACTGACATCAGTCAGCTGAAATCAATGGAACCCATCACATAAGAGCTGCAACAGCTCTCCTTCAAGACAGAGATAAAGTGAATGCAGCTGATACATAATCTGCACAAAATGGCAGAATTAGTAATACCCCTACTGTGCTGAAGATCCACAGTGAAAATGTTATTGTTAGAAGATGGGAGGTGCAGGAGGAAGGGAGGAGAACGGGAGCTTAAAGTTAATTGACGAGCTGAAAATAATGAGCACTGAGGAGGTCACTGAGGTACAGAAGAGGTGTAATAGAGAAAGAGTGTAATTGTGTTTAAAGGAGCTTTCTAACAGTACATCTTAAAACTAACCACACAGGAGCCAGCTTAATTATTTTGCTTTTCCAGATTGTGATACAGAGAGATGGGGAAAGGAACGGACTCCTGAAGCGCTGACCACAGAACTAAAAACCAAACTGCAACTTACCCAACTCTGCTCTAGCACATTCCCATCAGAAGTAAGGAAACCTTCAGTGAAAGAAAGAGTTGGGGAAAGGGACTAGAAAATCACAATAGGAAAGACTGTACAAAGACATGGAAAAAGCGTGAAGTAAGTGCGACACCATATAAAGCATGAAAAATGGGAGCAATAGGAAAGGAAAGATATGGAAAGCAAAAAATACATAAAAAGATTAAATAATTATATAAACAACACTAAGAATAGAAAAATATTTTACTCTTTTTTTTTTTTTTTTAATTTTCATAACAGAAAAGTGAAATGAATTTAGGTCTACCTTGAGCTATTTTAAAACAATATTGGCTTGGAGATGATTGTTAGGCTTAAGTATTCTGATCGAATATATATCAGGATATGGATTATATAACATGCAGACTAAAAAAAGAAACAGCACTCAGTGGCATATACTGATTTCAATAAAATAGTACGTGGGAAGGGCACATTTTTCAGGAAAGGCAATACCATAAAGGAGCTGAATCCCAATAAATGCCAATTAAAGATGTTACACCAGTGCCATATACACAGGTATTCCACATGAAGTACACATTTTACATCATTCTATAGTGAAGATAATTAAACTATGAAGATTTGTAAATACACATTCTATTATATATTTTAATGTTTTTATATTTTAGACACTTGGTAATTCCTTAATCATGTTTTTAAAATGTTTTTGTCTATTCTAATATCTTATGAACTAACTTTGCTGTAACTCAGTTTTCAGATTTCCAGATTCCTAGCCTACTACTAGAATGATATAATTTCTTCTAGCTCTGTTGAATGATCAGATGAATGACTGTGAACTCATCATTACTCTTGGATTCCCTGTTACTCAAATCACTTCAGTGCACTTTCTCTGTAGGCACAGTGCACTTGGGGGTGGGTTACCTTTTCAAACTGGTAAGAAAGCTGGAAGTGTTAAGCACCATGACTAGCTCAGATGGAATACTACCAATGTCATTTTGACAGCTAAGGAAATGCAAGTACCTCATTACTCAACAACTGATTACAATTGTCCCACTATGGGGTTTTTTTAGGGAGTATGCATTTGTTTGCAAGTGTAGAGGTACACGTGTGACAGGTTTGCAGGCAGTAACAGATGATGTGAAGCTCCTAGGCAGCTGACAGATTAAGATATCCTTGCATTGAGCAAGAGTAGCAAGAACAACTGCCCACACAACCTGTGTGTGTGTGCTGATTTGTAGCCTTCAGAAACAGTACTGTATTGCATATTTACTTATCTGTGAACATCGCAAAAATATTCCCTGGGTTGTATGTACTGAAAAAGCATAGAGAAAGAAAGACTATGCCTATCTTGTAGAGCTTAACCTCTAAATTTAAAAGGCAGATGAAAGTTGGGATGGAAATGGAAGGACTGGCAGAGCAGAATACTGACACTGTCAGGGTATGCTGTGGTTTATCACAGCAACTAAGCGCCTTTCAATTGCTCACTCGCACCCCTGCAGCAGGATGGGAGGGAGAACTGGAAGGGTAAAAGTGAGAAAGCTCAAGCGTTGAGATAAAGATAGTTTAACAGGGAAAGCAAGAGCTGCATACACAAGCAAAGAGAAATGAGGAATCAATTCACCACTTTCCATGGTCAGGCAGGTGTTTGGTCACCTCTAGAACAGCAAAGCTCCACCATGCGTAACAGTTACTTGGGAACAGAAACACCATCACTCCAGAAGTCCCCACTCTTCCTTCTTCTTCTCCCACCTTTCATTGCTGAACATGACACCAGACGGTCTGGGTCATATGGGATATCCCTTTGGTCAGTCAGGGTCAGCAGTCCTGGCTGTGTACCCTCCCAATTTCTTGTGCACCCCAGTCTCCTCTCTGGTGAGGCAGCGTGAGAAACAGAAAAGGCCTTGAGGCTGTGCAAGCATTGCTCAGCAACAACGAAAACATCCCTGTGTGTTATCAACACTGTTTTCAGAATAAATCCCAAACATAGCCCCATACTTGCTACTGTGAAGAAAATCAACTCCACCCCAGAAAAAACCAGAACAGATTAATACTGAGATTACTTGAATCCCAATCCAGTAGCCTGTCACCTAAGACCTGAAGCTGGACAGCCTAACAGCAGGCATCAAAATAAGCTTTGTCACATCAGATTCTCCTGCTAGTTTTCAAAGAGAAAGAGGCACACTCAGAGAGAGGTTTGACCCCTCCACACATTTCATGCATCCTTATGTATTGCTAATAAAATGTTGTCTAATAAATTCTAATACAGTTGTGCCACCAGCATATAAGAGAAGAAATTAACCATAACACCAGGAAATCCTACCTCCCTGTATTGATTTCAGTTCAGGAATACTTCACAACACAAAGACCCACACACCCACAGCCCCACCAAATGCCAGGGTAATCGATTTTGGGCTCAAATAGGAGGGTGCCCTCAAAAACCAGTAAGTGATTTTGTTCCCTTTCTGTTTTGTCCCTTAGAAAAATGAGGTCTCTCTCACTCTAGAAGATTTATTGAGCTTTTAAAGGAAGAACAGATGATTTACACATGATAAGGTGGTTTTCCAAAGAATGTGGTTCATTCATTCATGTCAATAGAAATCTAAGAAAAAATTACAGTGTTAAATTATGCATGCTTTAGATATACATTGTGTGCTATGAAATGTGTGTTAAAGTAAAGGGAACAAATATTTTTTGTTCCATGGGAATGGAAGTTGCACATCAATGTTTTTCCCAAAGATTTGGACACGTTTTGTCTGATATATCCACTGTATCTTTAGCTTTTTAAAATAAGTGAAATTCTTGTATCAGTTGGTTTCTTAGCTCTATTATGCTACATAATGCAAATACTACTAGCACACAATTAATTACATCTCTGCCTAATTACACTTTGTAATTTTTCCCTGTAAGCATTTTACATGCAGAGCTGTACTGGCACATATGTACATAACTGGCACATAATACATAACAAAGGACAACCATTTCCTACATCCTTTGAGCCACACTGCAAATGTGTACAGCACTGCCTGTAGGGTTTTAGGTACCCGTGGTAGCATTTAAACACCAGAGAGCAGGAATCAATTCAAACCTGTTGCTGCCTTGGGCTGTGAACCCTAAGTTCCTATGCAGTCAGTAGAGTGAAACTTCAATACCTACTCTACTCTGACCGGTTGCACTCTCACACTGATGAACTAGAGCCACACCCTAACACATCACAGGTGCTGCAATTGAATACAAATTCTTAATGTAATGCATTTTCATGGAAATACTTCTGTTAGTTTTGGGCTAAAGAGCTCATTTTTTTCCACTTGGGTTAGGCAAGGTTCCAGGGGACACTTGCAAGCAAAAGATGAAGGGCATACTATAAATTGCCTTATGATACGCAGCTTAGGCCACAAAATAAAATTACATTTGTTGTCTTCAGATAGTTCTACAGGGAGATCAATGGACAAAGGCCACATCCATTAAAAAGCAGCATGGTACAAAATGAGGAGCGAAGTCCCTCCCACTGTAAGTGAAGAGCAGGTTTGAGACCACCTAATGAAACTGAATATCCACAAGTCTATGGGGCCTGATGAGATGCATCCCAAGGGCCTGAGGGAACTGGCTGATGTTGTTCCTCTCTCCACCATATTTGAAAAATCCTGGCAGTCAGGTAAAGTCCTAAGTGGCTGAAAAAAGGGAAACATTGCTCCTATTTTTAAAAAGGGGAGAAAGGAGGCTGGATACATAATGAAGACCCTCATCCCTGTGGCTGGGAAGACTGTGGAGCAGATCCTCATCGCAATGTTAAGCATGTGCGAGACAAAGAGCTGATCCAAGACAGCCAGCACAGCTTCACTAAGGGTAAGTTGTTCCTGACCAATCTGGTGGCCTTCTATGATGGAGTGACTACAGCAGTTGACAAGGGAAGATTGTCACCTACCCAGACTTCTGTAAGGCCTTCAACAAGGTCCCACACAACATCATTATCTCCAAATTGGAGAGACATGGATTCAATTGATGGACTATTTGGTGGATAAGGAATTGGCTGGATGGATGCAAACGGAGAACTGTGGCTCTGTGTCCAGGTGGAAGCCAGGGAAGAGTGGTGTCCATCATGGCTCTGTCTTGGGACTGGTGCTCTTTAATTTATCAGTGACACAGAAAGTGGGATCAAGTCCACCCTCAGCAAGTTTGCAGATGACACAAAGCTGAGCAGTGCATTTGGCACACCAGATGGAAGGATGCCATCAGGGGGACAAGCTTAAGAAGTGGGCCCATAAAAATCTCATGAAGTTCAAAAAGTACAAGTGCAAGGTGCTGCACCTGGGCTGGGGCAATCCCAGACATAAGTCCAGGCTGGGAGAACCACCCACTGAGAGCAGCCTTGTAGAGAAGGAATTGGCGGTTTTCAAGGATGAAAAGCTGGACACAAGCCAACAGCACATGCTCACCCAGAAGGTCAGTGATATCCTGGGCTGCATTAAAAGAGGACTGGTCAGCAGGTCAAGGGAGGTGATTGTCCCTCTCTAGTCTTCCCTCGTGACACCCCACCTGGAGTGCTGTATCCAGGTTGGGGTCCTCAGCACAGAAGGACACTGACTGTAGAAACGAGTCCAAAGGAGGGCAACCAAGATGATTAGAGGGTTGAAGCAGCTCTCCTATGAGGGAAGGTTGAGAGATTTGGTGTTGTTCAGTATGGAGAAAAGCAAGCTCTGGGGAGACCTCATTGCAGCCTTCCACTACTTAAAGGGGGTTTATGAAAGAGATCGATGTTTTATATGGGGACATAGTGATAGGACAAGGGGGAAATGGTTATAACTAAGAAAGGAAATTTAGATTAGCTCTTATAAGAAATTCTTTATTGTGAGGGTGGTGAGGCATGGGAATAGAGATGACGAGGATGCCCCATCCCTGGAAGTGTTCAAGGCCTGGTTGGATGGGGCCTTGAGCAACGTGTTCTAATGGGTGCAGTAATTGCCCATGGCAAGGGTGTTGGAACCAGATGATCCTTAAGGTCCTTTCCAACCATTCTACACATAGGGGCATTTCCACAGAGTGAAAGAGCTGCTAGCAATATCTTTGTGTAAATGATTGTATTTGGTATTTTATCAGAATGATTTGCATCTGGAATTTGCAAAAATTAGCTCATACTGAAATGTGGGGCCAGTGAAACTAAATCCTAAAGGGATATGGACTAAACACTGACTAAATGTCCAAGATTCCAAAAATTGCAGAAAACAGAACACAGAAGATTTTAAAGCGTACCTGCTTTGCAAACAGAGCACAGTGACTGCATGAGGTAAACACTGAAGTCAAAGTTTTCCATCTGAGGTGATAAAATCTGGAATTTCCAGACTTGCAAACCACCTTCGGCCCAGTAATTACGTGGAGGAGGGGAGCCTTCAAAATAATTTGTATTGTATGCGAATATTGCAATTACAGCCTGAAAGCCAGACTCAAAATGAGGAGCCAATTTCGATATTATGCTTAGGTTCCATTACATCACTTACGTCATGGGTTTAAATCATGATATGTTTGCACAAACCTCCCATTTATGTCCGTGATGTAGCAGATACAGATACAGTTATTAGGGCATCCTTGCTATTATTTTAATTCTTGTAATTAACATGGAAACTCTAACTCCCTGTTCTGTTTGGCATCTACAAAATCCTCTGTGCACTGAGTGGTCCATGACTATTAAAAAAAAAAAAACAAACCCAAACCTCTAAGAGTTGCAGTGCTTCATGTTCTCTTCTGCCAGTAATCCTTAAACTTAGCTTATTTAATCTTTCCTCAGTTTGTACTTGTCCCTGAAGGGAAGCCCCCCTGAAAATAATTGTGTTTATAAATCTAGCGACAGATGTGAGGAATTTATCTCCTTACCACGGCAGGACACGCCTCGCCTACTCTCCAGAGCGGGGATTAGCTGGCAGGCAGGAGGGACAGACATCGGGCTACGATGTTTTCTCACTGCCTCCCTTCACCGTTTCGGCCGAGACAAAGGAGGAGAAGCAGGGATGGAGAGCAGGTGCAGTGGGACGGGCGGGACACGGCCCCGCACCGGGATGGCTCCCTCCGGGCACGGGGCGCGCGCCAGAGACCGGGGGCACCGCACCCTGCCCCGCCCCGACCGTCACCCCATGCCGCCACTGCCACCGCCGCCGCACACACACACACAACGGCCCCGCCCCGCCCCGCGCGACCCGGCCGGAAGCAGCCACCTCCTTCCGGGACCGGCACCGGCACCGGGCCGCCCGCACGCGCCCCACTACTCCGGGCCCCGCCGCCCCGCTCAGCCCCCGCCGGCACTGCGCCTGCGCGCCCAAGCGCCTGACACCGCCCCCCCCGCGCGGGGCGGAGGCAGAGGCAGAGGCGGGCGGGGCCGCGCCCGGTGACAGCACTCCAGCGCCGGCGCTTCCCGCCCGGCCCGGCCCGGCCCCGCCCCGCCCCGCCCCGACAGAGCCCGCCCTCCGCCCCGGGCCGCGCGCGCCGCCGGCCGTGCGCGCGGGGGCGGCGCCAGGGCCTCACCTCGCGCGCCCTGCCCCTCCCGCGCGCTCCTCGGGCGGGCAGCGGAGCGCGCGCCGCCGCCGCAGGTGAGCCGGGCCGGGCCGGGCCGGGCCGGGGGAGCGGAACGCGGGGAGCCCGCACGGAACCCGCGCCGGGGGCGCTGCGGTGGGGGCGAGGGGCGGGCGGGCGAGCGGGCGGGTGGAGGCTTCCGGCGGCTCCTTGCCCGCCGCTCTGCGCCGCCCGGGGGTCGGTGTCGGGGCGCGGCCACCGCTGCCCCTTTCCCTCCCCCCGGCGGTGTGCGCCTGCCGGCCCCGCCCGGGCATCGGGACCGGCGGGTGGGGGCCCGGCCGCCGCCCCCTGAAGGTTACGGACGTCGACCTCGGTGACCTCCGGCCGGGGCGCGAGGGGAGCGGGGCCCGGCCGCCTGTTGCGGGGCGGGTGCGGGTCCCGGGGCTGCGGCGGCGCCGCCCGTACCTGCGGAGGGCGGGGCGCGGCAGCGCCGGCACCCGAACAAAGGGGCCGCGCCCCGGGGCTGGCGGGGAAGGGGCCGCGGTGCTCATCCCCTGGCCAGGCTACGCCAGATCCCGCCCTGGGTCCTGCCCTGGCCGGGTGCCCGAGACCCTTGTTTGTGCGCTGCGGTGCTGGGGTGAATAAGAGCAGGGTTTCTGTAACATGTAATTGCTGCTCGCTTTCGTGTGCTGCGCTTTTCTGTAGTTACCGGTAACTACAGCTTGTGGTTGCCTGCAACAAAAGGGAGAAGTACGAAGTGTGACTACTTAGTTCCCTAAATAAAAGAGCCTCTCGATGCTCACCTGTTTGGTTAGGTAAGCAATTTGATGTTTGCTTTTGCATTTCTTTTAAATAGAAGCTAATAGCTTCAGCTCCTTCCCCTTAATTGAGTCTTTAAAATGAATATGTAAAGTGGGCCATACATATCCCAGGAGTCACCTGGAGAGCAACTTTTGTGTGTGATCTGTGTTTGTTTTGTAGCATCACAGAACTGTCCTGGTAGAAAGACTCCCGAAATGTTTATTTTCAGGTCCCTAATGTTTTGTTTTAAGTTTGCATTTCCAAATCTCATTAGAAAGAGAATTGCATTCTGCTCTGCAAATCATTACACTTCTACGAGTGGAAGCAATACGTACCTCTACTGGTATTTTGGTGTCTGGCAATAGGTTATGGAGAGATCTGCACATAAAGATATCAGTCATTCTTTGTCTTTTCCACTGGAAGTTAAACTGAAAAGAGAGGAGCTCCTGGGAGAGGGGCTGCATGGACTGGGAGAAGAGACAGGTATTCTGTTAGTTTTCAGGATTATATATAATTAATAGTGATTATAACTGGATTCTTAATCGTCTTCTTTTTAGCTGACTCATTTATTAGCATACACCTCAACATTTAAGTCCTGGGAAATTGTGAACATTCTTAATAGAATGAAGAACAACTGCATGATATGTTATCTCTGATGTAGATTATATCCTGCAGTCTGTGCTTGTGAGACAGCTTGTCAAACATTTTTTGTGGAAACCTCCAAATGGTAGAAATTTTAGGAATTGCCAGTGCTAGTCATGTTTACCCTTTTTTCTTTTCTGTATAAATAGGAGAATATGATGCACTGTTGCACAAAAAGATCCAAAAAAAGCCTTCAGTCCACTGCATGAGAGGTCAACTGTGAGGTTAAATAAGCTGTGATGCTGAATAGTGAATGTACTCCTTTACTATTGTGAATTCCTTGATCTCAGTCTTCACTTTGTAGTGTTCTTCTGAATTTGGGGAAGGGAAAGTTTATAAACATTTTAAGATGAAGTATTTTGAGTTGCATGTACTTCGACAATGTTGAAATAATAATGTCTTTATTCTTTTAGACCTTAGGGAGAGGATCTTTAGCCATGAAAGTGGAAACTGAAATGTCTCCTAGCTCTGTATTTGTTGTCTCTGTCACCTGTGGCTGTGTACTCTTTGGATAAATAATCCATAGAAATAGTAGGCTACTGGGGAGGAAGGATGGGAGTGGGGAAGTGGGACAGGGAGAGATGTGGCTGTGAGATTAAGACGGTACTGGGGGAAGGCAACCAGGGAGGAAGACAAGACTCTTAAATAAGTGTGGTTGGAGACCTTGCAGTGGTCCATGTGTCTTCTGTATTCAGACTGACTTCCACCTTCCATAAGAACAGTTGTGTTCTTAACCTCAGTTAAGTCACGCACTGATGACCCTGTATTTACTTTTTCTAAGGGTCTGCCCTGAAACAGAGGTGTTCTATCTCAGATGAGCTTTTATTCTTGTTAAATTTCAAGAGTATCTGACTTGAAAGAAAATAATTGTGGAGGCAAAGGATGTTGCTATCTTAGAAACTGATGTATGGCAGTCTCCAATATCAAAGGATAATGTAGTGTATTATTATGTAAAAAGTTGTTTAGGAACTGCAGTTTAGCTAATTGACATCATTGTGATTTTTGCTGCAGTTTTACAACTGAAGAAGAAATAATTATTTAAGAAAAATCTTCTAACTTTGTGATTGGATTTCTTTGCTTTGCCACCCTAGCAAGTGCTGTAGGATATAGTGATCCTGGGAATCAGTGGCTGATGACATGTGTTCTAGACAAGGAACTCCCCACCCTCTTGAGAGTGCTTACAGCCAACTTATGGTAAACTTCTAATGGCCCTAAGCTATCGAAATTACTTTGCTTCTTAATTGAAATCTATTTTATGTGAACAGTAGGCTAGTGACAGCATTCCTGTGAACATATTGTAGTCTGCCATCATCATACATGCAGCTATGGGGCAACTGTTTTTAGCCTCCTTTATACCTTGTGAAGAATTCATGTGAGGAACCAAGCAAATAGAATAGTTGGTATTACTGTATGTCCACTAAAAGTTCTGCAAAATGCTTTAAATTTTATAAATTAGTACGTAGGAAAGAAATGTTTGCATGTTATTAGTCTGCTGCAGTACTTAAATCAGCTCTCAGGGTAGTTCTAAAATGTTACTGTTACATCTTACTGCAGAGATTGTTTATAGTCCTCGTGGATATAAAGAAATTAGAGCCACTTTAACAAATGCGCCTTGCAGAAAGTCCAGGGGGTTATTAAATCCTGCTTTCCTACTCCTCCTGCTTTCTTGACTGTTGTGAATCAGAGTGAGCACCTAAAGCCTTAAAAGGACTTACCTGTGGTTACAGCTGCTTGATGAATTTCTTTAGTAGATGTGGATCCCACAGCCATCATGTTAGGCTTATACTCTTGAGCCTTAAGAGCTCTTCACAGCAGAAAAAAAGTCTGAAATTCCCACAGAAGAAACACTGTTGGATTTAGGGGCAGGAACAAGTTGTAAAGAAACATATTGTAGACTAAGTAACACTGCCGTAGAATGACCTGATGAGAGAATTCATTGCGTTTGGCTGGCTTAGTATTTACTACTAGTGTTTTGTTTAGGATTAGGTTTGTCTCTATCAAAATTCCCATCACCTATTGGACAGTAGGTAACACTGAAGTGTACAGGCTGTGCATAGACAGGGGAAAAATGAAGAAAAGTGCATTAAAGAGGTTTAGACAACACAGAGAGAAGATGTAATGAGAAAGACAGACAGCTGCTACAGAGATTTCAAAGTAAGCTATGCTGTAATCAGTTTATAATGCTAATATGGAGAGGAGCCAAGAATGCAGAGAAGGTAGAACAAACGAGATGTAAAGTTGGTTGCATAGTAACTCTGTAATCGTTACTTTAGTGGAATTGATGATGCTTATTTTGTGGTACTGGCCTCTTAGTTCAAGTAATTACAATGTACACTGCATTCCTACCAGTACAGTTCATTTAATACATTGTATTTTTCTCTATAACAGTAAGTTTACTACATCATTTGATGCAAGACTGTGGGAATGTCAGGTGCAGTGGCCCACAAGGTTTCATTAAAAGTTGGCATGTAAATACACTGTATGACCAAATAAGTTTTTCTGCAAATAATGGAAAATGCGATGTAGGAGGGAGCTTTGCACCTGTGCTTAGTAGATAGATAGCAGGGATCAGCCACGCATCCAGGCCTTGGTCCCTGTTTCATTTTACTCTCTCAAATGCTAACCTAATATCCTTCTGTGCTACTGTTCAACTTGATCCTTAACTCTGATCCTTGTCTCCAGTAGTCTGAGAATGCTTTATGTGTAACACTCACATACAGGCAGTCAGAAATTTTTCTGTCAGCGTTAGAGTGCAGTAAACATGGAAGTCTTACAGAAATGAAACTTCTCTGAAGAATGTAAAAAGGCAGCTATGTGTGTTGTAGTCCTTCTCTTTGCTAGTATTCCCATTCAGACAGTACAGAGTAAAGCTAGCCTGTCATATCAAGACTGAAGCAGTGTAGTCCTGTTGGTACAGCTGTGCTGTCCCCTGAAAAGGCTTTTAATATGGAACTAGTTAATTCCAGCAAAACTTTCCCCAGTGGAATTGGTTTAGGCCTCAAAGTAAAAGAAATTATACAGACAGGAAAACAGTGTCAATGTGACAGACTTCTGCAGGGATGCTGTATCAGTCCCAAAATGCACTCTTGGTGGGTGAGGTCACACCATGAAAGGTGTTTGAGTAGATGGACCCAAAGGCCCTACTCAAAGCAAGGTTGGTAGCAGCTGATCCTTAA